CTGCTGCATCAGGATGTGGATTTGGTCTGCATCAACCTGCCGCCTCCCCTCACCAGGCAGATCATGGTGAAAACTCTGGGTGAGTCTCTGTGGAGAGCTTGGCGGGCAGCTGGCTGGACTTCCAAGAGCTGGGGGGAGAAGGAAGCTGTGGAAGAAGCAGCAGCGCCTTGAAATGGAAAAAGGCCTGCTACGTTGCACACACGCGCAGGCATTCAAGGAATCCAGCGTGTTGTTTTTTTTAAAAAAATCCCAATCAACCCGATCACTCCGGCTCTTCCCGCCTGGATGCCCACCGCCCAGGAGCCGCCCGAAGCCTTCCAAGAGGTGTGGGGGGGAGAAGGAGGCCGTGGAAGAAGCGGCAGCGCCTTGAAATGGAAAAAGGCCTGCTTCCCCCCCCCCCCTCCAATAGTATCCCGCTTTACCAATTTTAAAATCTGGTCACTTTACCTTTGACAGCCATTTTGACATATTCTGAAAATTCACAATGATGTTGATGACTCGGGTTAGATTGTGAGCCTCAGAAGTTCCTTAGCATTTTGAATGAATTCACAACACTTTCCAAAATCACAGGCCGCTTTTTGCAGTGGATTGACCTTTTTTTTCTTAAAGTGAATTGTCATGGCATTATGGTGTGTATATTTCTGCATATTTGGGAAATTCTCAATAACAAACACATGACCAGTTCAATTTTAGATGGCATCTAAGTTGGATGGTGTGTAAGCTGGTCAGATGCTTCGTCCATATTTCATGTTTCAATTAGAAGATACTTTAAATTAAAAAAAATTAGGAGGAGGATCTTTGGTAGCAAGTCACATATCTAATTTTGAGAAATTATTGATTATACCTTTAGCTTATCTGTTAAATTCAGGTTTAAGGTCAAGCTATATTTAAGAACATTTCTTAATTTAAAAATTCAATCATGATAAACATTATTTCATACTATCTGATATTTTAAATGATCATCGATTGTTATCCTTTTATTATTTTTTTAATTGAACACCTGGCCCAAATTTTGATTAGGAGTCTTAAAATAATTAACAGCCAGGAAAACAGCCCTACCAAGGAGCCCTTATTAAAATCCGTTTGATTATAAAGACATAGTACTAAATTAGAAAGGGATGCTTCTGCTCTTGAACTAGTATCTGATTATTAGATGGATTTCTTCTTTCTAACCCCACACTTCTCAGAAGGCTGCCACTGATTATTCTGCTGTTTTTGAAAATAAATAAAATTTCTGAGAACTGCCAGAACTGTCAGATTATAAAAAGCTGGAAGTGATCATGAGGAACTGGAATTCCTGGTCAGTACCCCATGTGGTTCAAACCTTTCCACCTTTCTACTTCTAAAGCATCTGGAAGTAACCATTATCTAAGAAAGGATGCTGACTACAGTGAACTCTCTGACCTAATCAGACTGTTCCCTTGCTCTTGTCCACAATGATAAATTACATCACTTCATGTAAATCATCCCAATTGTGTATGTATTCCCTCCTCCCCCTGGAACCAGGGTAAAGCCCCACATGTACACTGGAAGGTTTAAACTCCAAAGAGTTTCATTAGCCCATTAAGGGATCAGAAGGCAAGAAGTAGAAGGTTGTGTTATCTCCAGACACCCTGCGATCACAGTTTACAAAGCTATGTATTTATCATGATGTCTGATGTCAAGGGAGGGATCATAGATCTCGAACCTTGTAATTCCTTAATATGGGACTGTAACGGCAGACAAATGGCTTTGTCATTCTCTATACGCAAGGACATACATCAAAAACTATTCCCGTGAGTCCAAGGAAGT